CACTTTAACCTCAACCTTGGCAAATCCTATCACACTTCATGTACCAACTCTTTGTGTATTGTCTTAAACTATCACGTGCCCACTAATCCATGTTTTTGCAGAACTACTCCCTCTATTCAAATGTCAAACCAATTCCCCTGACGTTATCCTGTATGCCCCTTTAAAACCCTTTGGCTCCAAACCACAGGTCGCCTTACCCTTTGAACATTTCCTGCTCCCTCTGGAGGCACACTTCCTTCATTGCTTTCAGTGTACTTAGAGGGCCACTGGCGCATATAGCACTTTCTTGTAAACCCTCTCCCTGTCTCCAGTTAAGCCTCAGGGCCATCTTTTTCCTTCTGTGTATGTGTGGTGTGTGACATGCTCCCCCATGTAGGCCCATGCAGCCAGAGGTCGGCATCAGGTGTCTTCTATCACTTTTTGTCTTAGTTTTGAACACAAAGGTGGAACTCTTCTATTTTTCCCCAAGTGTCATAGCACTGTAATGAGCTACATTATGAACTACCCATGTGCCACTGTGATCAGTATCTGAAACTGAGTATTTCCGCTATGGTTACATTCCTGTGTCTCCTTTTAAAATTTGCCTGAAGGTACATTATTTGGAAGGCACTGGATACTAAAGGCCGAAGAGGGATATTATTTCTTTAGGAGTAAGTAGAAAATATGAGAGAATGAAAAAAAGAATACACTTCTGGTAATTTGAGAACTGCCTAATTTGTACTGACAGGGCTTCTCACTGAAACTGGAGCTCACCACTTCATCTAGACTCCTGACCAGTGCTGAGGCTACAGGTATGCACTGCCACACCCGGCTTTTTGTTTAAACACGGGTGTTGGGGATCCAAATTCAGGTCCTCATGCTTGTGTAGCCCTTTACCCCACTGACCCCCAGCCTCCCAGCTGTCTCTTGATACCACAACATAACTCCAGGCATCTAATGTCCAACTGCATGGCATACACCTACATGATAAATAAGGCTTTGCAGAATGATTTTAAAATGTTAAAAATAAGGGGCTGGAGAGATGGCTCAGCGGTTAAAAACATGGCTGTTCTTGCAGAAGTCCCGGGTTCAAATCCCAGCATCTACATGGCAGCTAACAATTGTCTGTAACTCCAGTTCCAGGGGATCCAACAGCCTCTTCTGTCCTCCACCGGCACTGCACAACACAGGTGCATTGACCTACATGCAGGCAATACACGCATACACATAAATAAATAAAAATGTTAAAAATAAAACAAAAACACATGACTAGCAACATCACGAACAGGGTGGAGAAGCTTGGGCTGAGTGGAAAATCTAGGAAGAGGTTAAGTGAGAAACTAATTCATTCTTACAAATTAACATTCGCCCAATGAAGCAGAGGCATAATTGTCAGGTGATAAAGGCATGAAGGAAGGTTCAGTGGTGGAAGGAAAACAGTGGTCAAGGAAGAACAGAGGAAGCCAAATTTCAGATTCTGAACTTTACATGCCAAATAAAGTATGACTACTTTTCTGTCCAAGTGAGAAAGTTGGTGCGAAAGTCAATGTTTACACTATTCATTAAAGAAAATCATCTTCAGGGCTCCACAAATAGATGACAGAGCCTTAAATACTTGACTTAAAGGTCAATGATTAACACTGCGATGTTCTCATTACACCAGAAAACAATGCTAAAACAGATTGTATTAAAAGGATACAGAAGACAGCTTGAAATGTTCTCACTGGGGAACTATGACAAAATCCAAATAACAAAAAAGGAAAAAGGCAGCGAGTAAGAATTGTCGGGTCTATACTAATAAACGAAGGGAAAATGCCTACTTGAAGAAAAAAAAAAGCCATCCAGTAAACACAAAATATAGAGAATTACTATGCTATAGTCATATTCAAGACTGACTCAGGCAAGAAGCCATCAAGAGATGCATCAAAAAGCCACAAGTGGACAAGTCTCCAGATAAGATGCCCAAGAGAAGCACAATACCAGGTGCACATGCCGGCACTCAGTCCACAGTCCAAAGGCAGCTGTGAAACCAGAAACCAAAGGGCATTCTACAAAATGTATTCTTCAAAAGTACCGATGTGATGAGGGACAAGGGCTAATGAACTATTCCAGATTGAGACTTAAAAACAAGTGTCTGTCTGGATTGAGAGAAGGGGAAGTACTAGTACATAGTACAAAGGACATTAGGCAGGACACTTGTAATAATATAAACCACAAGATTGCTGGGTCAATGTTACATTTCCTTGAGTTATGGTTATGTATACCCATTCTTTGGAAAATAAAGGATACACACACACACACACACACACACACACACACAATTTAGTCATGAATAATTCAGAAAAAATACTGCATATACTTACTATTCACAATAGCCAAGTTACTGAGCCAACCTATATGCTAAGATAAATGGATATACTGCATATACACAACAGACTATCAGCCAGCCACAAACTATGAGATCATGTCATCTTCCCAAAACTGGATGGGACTCGAGATCATGAAGTAAGCTAGATTCAAAAAGACAAATATTGTAACACAGTTCTCATATATACGAAATCTAGATTATTTTTAAGAAATGAAAGTAAAATAGGTGTTTGGAAGAGGAAGGGTACCAGTGGCAGGGGAGGTGGTGAGGGCATTGTAGGGATAAATATGACCAGAGTATGTCATATGCATGTATGAAAGTGCCACCATGAAACCACCATTGTAGAGCATACCAATAAAAAATTTTAAAGTAGAAAAAAGCAAGTATGTGTGTGTGTGGAGGGACTGAAGACAGGAAAAATACAGTAAAATGTTTGCAGATTGCTAGTAAAGATTTCTACAGTCCTTCTGGAAATAATTTGGCAATGTGAATCAAACAGCATAAAAATATTCATGACCTTTGATTCTCAACTGGAACCCCATAAGGATACAATACACATAGGAAGTTTAAACTAAGGACAGCTGAAGCCGGGGCACGCACTATCGTCCAACATTTGGAAGGCTGAGGAGCTGGCATCAACCTCAACAACAAAGCAAGACACTTTAAAATTCAAAACTGGGGAAAAGTTAATTTAAACACTTGTAGCCTCACTGACTGGAGAAAAACAATCAAAACACTCAGTCATGAAGGTTACATTTAACAAGAATACACTGCATGCATTTTAAAGTGGTATACAGAAAGCACAATACAAAATTATGTTAACTGCAAAATCAAGACACAATATAGGATTACACACTAGTGGAAACTGCGAAGACCCGCTTGAGCCACAGTACAAATATATGCATATAGCGATGGCTGGATTAGTGACAGGATTTCCAGTGTGCCAGCTTCCATCAGTACAATTTTTTAATTTGCAGTTATACAGAAGACCTTCTGAAAACTACAAAAAAAATTCTGCATATTGTTTTAAACTTTCTCTGTGCAGCAGAGGAAGGATATAGCAGTGCATACAGCGGTCATGGGACTCAGAATGATGGGAGAGGCACTTTATAATCAACGGCCAACTGTGAGGAGCCGACTAAGGATCCTGGGTGCTTCAAAAAGTCACTTCCATGTAAAAACTAGGGGTTAGAGGACACACTTTAACATCCGTTCAGCCAGGATGTTCAATTCCCAGAAGAAAAATGTATGAAGGCTCTGATGTAGTAGTGAGTCGGAGACAGAGTGCAGATGAAGAACACTAAGATGGGCTGGAAATCCCCTAACCCGGGATTTCTAAGGCCCTTCTCATGTGGCTAGAATTCTTATCGTCTACTTTAACATCTTAATTATGAGGAACTACTGAAGGACTTTAAGAAACGAAAATTTAACCTTGTTTTTGAGATAGGATCTCCTTGTAGTCCCAGCTGGCCTGGAACTCGCTATCTAGAGCAGGCTGGCCTCAGTCCCACAGATCGGCCTTCCTCTACCTCCTGAGTGCTGGGGGGAAAAAAACATGCACCACCATGCCCAGCCCAAATGAAAAAAATTTAAACATCTTTTGAGTGCTGCTTTGGAAACAGATGGGGGAAGAGTTGGTATGATGCGATAGTGGATACAAGTAGACCTCTTGAAGAGCACAGATAAGAAATCTTGGCTGAAATCTAAGCAATCTGGTGATCTGATGGGAGGGCCGAAGGAGATGTAAAAGAATCAAAGCCTTGGGCACCTTGGTTTAGACACCTAACTACAAAGCAATGATGCAACCAGTGTATTCCTTCTTTGCCTATAGTCTCCCCACTAATTCTCAATGTATAAACTTAGAACTGCCAACATCAATCTTAATTCTTATAAATTTAAACCTTTTTGATTGCCTTTTAGGATAAGCAAAATACGAGCCTAACCTACAAAAGTTCCTACACTTTCTTCTGGCTAACCCTGCCTCTTTCTAGGTGTCTTGGAACATGCTAGGCCCTACTCTGCCTTTCCATTACGGCACTGTTTTCCTTCCTTAATGCAAACACTAATTACCATCAACCTATTGATTGCAGCACAACCATCCCCTCCATTTAAGATCAGGTCCTCATACTTTCTTTGTAAGGAAATTGCATTCTCTTCAGAGAACTTTTTACAGCCTGTGCCACTTCCACCATTATGTTTTAATTAAGCATCTGTACCACCAGTGAGGGCAAGGAGTGTTTCTGCTCTGCTCTCCCTAACCCTAACACAGACCGACATAGACATAGACCCTCAACTTCTGCTTGAAGTGTGGTAAGTGACCACAGAGGAGTAGGCAAAACAAACCCTGAATTAGGTTTAGGTCACTGGTAATCTTCTAGCAGGCTCATAGAGCCATTTTATCTTCTCTGAAACAAGATAAACACAGCTGCTTTAAGAGAATTGTCAAATTCAAGTCTGGCCAGGTCTTCTTGTGTTTTCAGTAAGTCAAACACTCCAGAGTCACATTTTCCTGAAGAAAGCAAGTAAGACACTCCTCAAAATCAGTTAAAGAACTGAACCAACTACTGAAAGAGAGATCTGTAAATGCTCATCACCTATTTCAAGATCTTGACTCTAGTAAAACTTTTCCTAAAAGAAAGCAACACTGCACAGGAAAATGTCTGAATACTTGTTTTAAAGTGTTACTGTTTTATTTTGTCTTTTGTTGAATACACATCTGTTTGGCTGGCAGTCCAGATAAACAAGTGTATAAAGAAAATACTAAATTTTTCTTTTGGCAGAAGATAAACCTGTGCAGATTAAAATGCCTTAGTTTAGCACAAGAAATTGTTCTGAATCATACAAATCTCTTAAGAAAAAATAACTGTCCAAAAGCATTCTCGTAGCTTATAACACATTTCCAGAATTACTCTCAAAAAAAAAAAATTAAAAAATACTCACTGACTACCATAAAAATATGTCAATACCATATGGCTTTATGAAATAACTTCTAAATTTTGGATTTTTATTTAAAAAAGGATCCCGTGTTTTAAATAAACTACTAGCAACATTTTCTTCACTTAAAAGTGCGTATCTCTGAGGATGGGACATACATAACTTTTTGAACAAATAATGAACTTTACAAATTAACACACAAAACCACTTAAAAGTATTTTTAAAAGTTTTTCCAGCAACAGTTATCAAATAGATTGTAGTAGATGATGTCCCCTCTCTCCACCTCTTTTCTTTCTGTACCATCTGAATTATCATTGAGATGCTTTGGCAGTTTTAAGACATGTCAGAACCTCTACCAAGACACACGGGCAATGATGTCTGTGGAGACGGCAACTGTCTTGATGGCTCACTTTGAACAGGTATGTTACTGGACTGGTTCTCCAGATCAGAGGCAAAGGTACTTTCTTCTCTTACATCAAGAATGTGTTCCACTGAGACTGCCGGTGGCAGACTGTCACACACAGTTCGGCTGGCATTGTTCAAGTCATTAGTAAGTGCAGTAACGTCACATTCCCTGTCCAGGACACCAGGTTCATCTTCTATTGTAACAACATCTTTAGTTTCAAATGGTTCCAAGGAAGGAATGGAAGTCTCCTTGTGCACAGGGTGTTGAAGATCACTACTGGTACATTCCACATCTGCCTTTACTTCAGAGTCCTTATCGCTATCACTGTCAATGGTTATAACAACTGGGGAACGAGAAGTGTTATCTCCATGGTGTTTCTTATGCTTCTTCTTATGTTTCTTCTTTTTCTTTTTATGATGTTTAGTTGTGTCTGTAGCTTTTCCTTCATAAACTATCTCCACACTTAGGCTCCGAGTCCTCCTTTTCCTCTTCTTGCGTTTTGTCTCTCTGTCTGATGATCGGCTATCTGAAAAGCTGTCACTCTCATTTTTATAGCTTCCATCTAATTTTGATGATTTTTGGTAATGACTATCCTTTACTTTCGAGGCACACTCCCGTGACGGTTGAGCCCCTTCATTAGTACCCTCCAGATGCCGGGTTTTGTACTTCCGTTTCCCTCCAGGCTTTTCATTTCTCGGCCGGTCAGGCCCAGCAGATGCAGTCCTTGATCTGTTACTGGACAGGCTCCTTGATCTATGTCTTTCATAATAGTAGTATTTTTCACTATGATTCTTTTTCCTAGCATTTGTTCTCTCAGAAAAGGACTGAATTCTAAATTCTGGACTGGAAGATTGTCTAGAATAATGGGCTCTTGAGAGAGTCCTCCTCCTATAGGAGGATTCATAGCCATCCCTGTCCTTGTTTCTACTATAGTAAGTATACTCCCATTTGTATCTGCTTCCATAATTATTTCTTAAATAATAACGGTCTCTGTTTCTGCTTCGTGATCGTCTTCTGCCATGATCACTGCTACGAGACCTTGATCTACTTGTGCTTCCACTGCTCAGAGACAGAGTCTGGCTTCTTCTCGACCAGCTGCTGTCTCTGGTTCTTGATCTCTTTTTGTCTCTTCTCGCTCTCAGTCTGCTATTACTCTCCCTGCTTCTGGACCGTTTATTCTTCATCCTTTTCTTCCCATGATGCTTCCTATGGTTCCGTTGATCATGCCCACTTCTACTCTGAGAACGTGAATCTGAACTTCTAGATCTTCCGCCCTTTCTGTGTCTACGATTGTACGGGGAGTATGCTCTGTCTCCTCTCACAGATGAGCTCAGGTCTCTGGGAGATGACAACAATGTAGATGTAGAGTGTTTCTCTTTCTTTGATTTGATTCTTGTACCAGAATCACAACGGTCTTTACTCATTTGCTCATCCTTTCCAAGGACAGAACGTGGAGATGAATACCTACTAACATCACTATCTCCAGAACTGTAAGACTGTTCTTGTTCCCGTGTCTTCACTGTCTCCACTTTCTCATAAGAGCCCAACTCCTCAGAATCAGAGGACAGTTCAACAAGTTCTGGGGTCCTTTCAGCTAGAGGTTTGACAAAGCCAACAATGACACAATTATCTGATGATGAATCGCTATCATTATTTAAGTCTTCATTGGTCTGTACTCCTTGTATCTGAGATGTGGCTCCTTCAGTGACAAGATCTTCATCTGAACTGTCTGAAGAATTTAAAAGGGAAGACACGGAAACATGCACCTGCTCTGAAGTTGAGTAAGATGGTCCAGGAGTTTCATCGTCCCATGGTGCCTGCCTAACAGTGGCCGCGCTAATATCCAGCTCTTGGGTCTCAGTCTCATCTGGTGATATTGTTATGACGGATGAATCAGAATGACTGCCTTCTTCATAGGAAGGTGGAGGGCAATCATAATTAGCATGCTGGTCAAAAGCTGCCATGTTAAAAGGAGATCGAGCAAAACTAATAAATTCATGTATAAAATGCTCAGTTCGATTAAGCAAAAATGGTCTTAAGTCAGACACAAAGGCCTGACTCTCCAAATCATAGCGGGTAACATTACTCATGATGATGTGTTGGACGATATTGACTAAAGATCCATGAGCTCCAAAAAGAACTGTGAGTTCACGTTTTAACCAAGGGACTAGTCTGTGAAGGCAAGCTGGATTTCTACGAAAAAACTCGGCTGAAATATCCCTGTAGCGGCCACCATCTTCAATACTCCTAACTCGAGCACCAGCACGATAAAGAGTTCGTCTAAAGTTAATAATATCTTGCTCTTGAATTTTCCGTAAAGATCGTTCATCTGCAGTAGCTGGCCTCCTTAATGCAATTTGTCTCATAAACTGAGGAATTTCAGCATCTCTGGGTCTTCCTGGAAGGCCTAAGCCTTCAAACAGCACTCCACTATCTGGTGGGGTAGTTGTTCTTCTATGCACAGTGCTACCAGGTGAGTAAACAGAAGAGTTTCGTTCTCTGGTCATAGTTGTACGGTAGCGAAACCGTCGAACCTCAGGAGTGGTAAAAGAACCATTATATGAAGGCCTTAGGACATATTCCTTGAAGTCATCTTCAGCCCTCACGGAATGGAAAATAGAATCAAAAGGCTGTTTACACAATGGACATTCAGCTTTGTTTTTCGACCACTCTTGTACACAGCGAAAACAGAACTTATGTAGGCAGCGATCTAAGTAAGACACATTGTCAAATCTATCCAAGCATATAGGACACTTAGAATCAGGAGATGCATCAGCTGGTACTGTCTGCTGCAGTTTGCTAGTGCCAGCTTTAGGTGAAAAGTTGTCCACTTTAAAATCCTTTGCAGCTGAAGCCATTATCTGTAAAAGGGGGAAAAAATGTATCAGTAACCTGATAAAAGAATAAATACACGAATTAAAAAAAATACTTTATAGAGACTTTGGAACATACTTCAGCGAACATACTTGAATAACCATATATAAAAAAGGCAGTATAATCATATAAAGCTTAAAAGCACACACTCTAAGATCTGATTTCCTAAGACTAATTCCAGCTCCACTGTGTTACTATCTGTGCCTTAATTTCACCTGCAGGTCAGTGAATAGAATCTGCCTTCCAGAGATTTTAAGGATTAGTAAAAAGTCATGAGAAAAGGCACCCAGTACACAGTAAGCCCCCAAATATTATATAACATCTTATTTTTTAAAAGCATTAGAAAAGTATTTGACAAACACAAAAGCACAGAAGAAAACAAGTATCTGTGTCTCCCCTCAGATTTAACAAGTAATGTTTTTAGTGAATCAGCTATTCTAGATGCCTTAAAAGGACCAATTCTTCCTTTCCCAGACCTTTGTACCCTCAATTAAAGTTATCTAATGTATGGTTTTGTATTTTTCATATATACATGCCTCTAACACTATGACTTACTTTATGTATGATATACAGTGTATCCATTTTTCTAAAACACCTTTTGTGAAGTAAGTTACAGATGAGAAAGTTTACTTGTTTAAACTAATTATACAGTTTTTAGTAAAAGAGTCACTGAAAAGGAATTAATTTATGGCCAGCCAGGGCTGCATACTCCAGTGGAAGCACTACACCGCTACTTACTACTGCACTGTGATTTCCATCCTCTCTCAGTATTTAAGCCTTCTCTAATTTCTGCTGTTATATTTGTTTTGACAGGGTCTCACTATGTAGCGCAGACTGGCCTCCAAATCTCTCAACAATTCTGCTGCCTCTACTCCCAAGTGCTGAAATTACAGGTGAGGGCCAACAGGTCCAACCCTCCTTATTCTTTTCTTTTTAATTCCCAAACCAAAGAACAAAGTATCTTAAAATTCTGTTTTCTGTCTCTGTCTTTTCCAAAGGATTGCCTGCTTAGTCACAGCATTAGTGGCTTGAAAAGTGGAAACTGAAACTTGTTATCTTCCTCCACCAGAGTCACTAAAATGTTACGGAGCAGTTTTGTTTTCTTTAAATTTCTTAGTTTACATCAGTTCACAATTTAACAGGTCTTGGAATTTAAAATATGCAATACTAACAGCTTTTTCCCCAATAGTTATTTATCTAAAACTTGTAGGATCATAGACTGTATATTGGGGAGGGGCAGGGCGGGGAATCAGAGAAAAGAAATGGGAACAAGTAATAAAGAAGCTAAAAAGGTTATCAGACGGCATGGATTTAAGGCCAGGTCTCAACTAAAATAAGCTCTGTAAACCAAAGAAATCTGTATTAACTTGAGTTTGGTTGGCCCCTCTGTATAATGGATTATTGAAGTGTAGAAAAGGAGACTGGTAAACTTCAAGATAATGCATTGTATTTCTTTGGAATGCAGAATTTTAGTGTCCACTAACATCCAATTCACAAAAAAAATTCCAAAAAAACACCCAACAGAATTCATTAAAGGAAATTACTAGATGATAAACTTCAAATTCAAAACAAAGTTTCAATAAAGCATGCCTTTAAAAAGTGATTTTCAAAGTCTTTTCTTTCTTAGAGAAGCCTAGTAATCACTTTGACAGCAGAAGGCTTAAGACTGGAGCAACAATAAGCAAAGACCAAGTTACTAGAGATTTCTCTTATATTACCACACAAGAATATGGTACTAATTAGAAACATAAGTAGCAATGCAATGACATACTTAAGGATTGCCTGCTCAGTCACAGCATTAGTGTTTTAAAAGTGGAAACTGAAATGTCCGCCAACTGATGGACTAGTAGGTGGTTTGTCTGGTACTAGAAACATGGTTAAAATCCATTAGAAGTTCCAGGCCCAAGGGGGGGGGGCCAACTGATGGACTAGTAGGTGGTTTGTCTGGTACTAGAAACATGGTTAAAACCCATTGCTGAAGAAGTTCCAGGCCCAAGGCGGGGGCCGCCTACTGATGCTTTGCTAAATGGTCATGTTGTCAAATGGCCTTGGAAATACTTATGTTTGTATCCATAGATGTGTGCTGCTCTCAACCTCGGTGAGAAGCTTCTTTTTGCAGTGGACAGAGGTTAATACAGGGATTTGTAACTACAGGGGAAGAAACTGAGTGCTCAACCACAGATAGGACATCTCTATCAAGGTTCAGGGAAAGCACAGGAGAAAACATGAAAGAGGAGGTGGAACAATGTAAGAGCCGGAGGACGCAATGGAGTGCTATGAAGTGCTGTCCACTGGGGAAAGAGTCCCTTTCCTTTGGGGGGTGCCTATTGGTAGGCTGTTCATGCCCAGTGATCACGCCATGCCCACAGGCATATAAGCAGCGCTAATTGGACTCAGTGAATTATTTTAAAACAATGTGATTTATACATAAAATTATTGGAGAATAAAAGTAATGAGGTACTGATGTTATAACATGGATGAACCTTACAATAAATGACAAAAAAATACAAAAGACCACATACTGTATAATATCATTCATATAAAGTATCTAGAATTTTCACATCTATAGATGGTAATATTTGTGCTGGTAAGATTTCTTCCTGGGATAATGAAAATGTCCCACATTAAATTAGGTGATGGTTATACAACTTGATAAATACACACACAGAAAAAATATACTTCAAGCAGGTGAACTTTATGGATGAAATGTAAACTTAATCTCAACAAAGCTATTTAAAATATACAAATTAAAGCATAAAACTAGGATAACTAGGAAAACAGATTAAGATTGGTGGATTCGAAAGACAAGCTCTCAACTCACGTGACAAAGACAGACCCATTTTAATTTTGTATTCCATGACCTAGAAAAATCTATGTAAATGTTTCTCTACCCTCACATTCTAGGAATTGGGATTACAAATTAATTTCTCCATAAAGAAGACTAATCAATTCTTCTTATCCTACTTGTTAAGCAGACAAATCCAAAATAAACTATCAATTTTAGGATACACTGATTAAAAAAAGAAAAAAAAACTTTCTCCTTTCTCAAATTTTCAAATCTGGCCTAACAAAGATTTTAAAATCCTTTATAATTTCCCCAAATTATGACAATGAACAGTCACACACACGTGGGGGATAAATGGGAGATAAAGAATGAGGGAAGGTGGAGTCTACAGAAAGCCATAAACAAAGTATTTGAAAAACTGAAAACTAAGACTGCCTTTTTATAAAGTCAGACTTCCTTAAAAGAAAAAAGTCCTTTTCTATGGTATTCCTTAAATTATACTGGACACAGAATTCAATCATCTGATTGCACTTTAGTGATGTTAATTCTAATGCAGCACCAATTCACACTGAGCGTCATGGCTTCTTAGCATGGTTTTTCCTGAAAACAAGCTCTGACAAAAATTTTTCTCAAAATTTTAATTTACAGACACACACTCTATTCTCAATTCTAAAATGGTACTTGAAAGAAAAAAACGACTGTGCGAAAAGACATAATGTAAATACAACTTTAGCACTGTGCTTGATGCAAGGTTATGGGAAAGTTTCATTTTTGTAGTTATCACCACCCACAACTCTGATAGGGGCCTGGAGAATAGTGCACAATAATTAATAATTATACTGTATCCAAGAGAAGTGGCTAACAAGCTCCGAAGTAGATAACTGGAAAGACAAATGTTGAAGCAATCTCGTCCTACTCTTTGCCACTGTGAAGACTCACCTAGCTCCCTGAGCGGCAAGTCACAGTACCTACTGACTAGGTCTTAGAAAATTTAATTTCAATTCCAGTAATAAGAATGTTGCTTTGAACCAGGTGCAATGGATCCCTGCGATCCCAGCACACCCAGAGCCGGAGGTCGTTAAGTTCAAAGTCAACCTCTACATAAGGAATTCCAGGCCAGCCTGGGTTACATGAAACCCTGTCCAAAAAAATAAAGGGAAAAAACCCTAAGGATGTGATTGAGAACTATTCCCTAGGAAAGTCATTCATTCTAGATAAACACAACCGATTGTGGCTGACTGTAGGGCTTTGCATTTCGTGTACTAAAATACCAGAACCAACAACCCTCCAAAACAAAACACCCTCACCATCATACGCATTCTAGGCAGCTGTTTCTTGATGTTTCTTAATCTGGAAAATAACCTACCAAAAAAACGTTAGTCCGTTTTCTTTTTAAGTTTCTGTGTGCCTCACCTTAGTACCGGCCCCTGCAGACTCGGAATCAGCAGTCGTGGGGAAAGCTGCACCAACTAGTGATGAAGTCACAGGCCCACAAGCCCAGCCCAGCCTGTAACACTGCACAGACAACTCCATCAGGCTAGAGCTGCAGCCCGCTAGGATCCAAGACAGAGGCAGCTTGTGCGTTACATAACGAAGGCCACCCACATGTCTACACCGGTATACCCATTTCACAGACAGCTGGGGAACCAGGCACCCACCAAGGTCACACTTCGCTCAGCGGCGGTGCCACCAAAGCAGGCTCGCTCGGCGGCTGTTTTCCGCAGAGAGCCAGCTCTTTCCAGTATCCGGCCAAGCTCGCGCCCCGGGGGCGGCGCTATGGAAACGCGGCCCCCACCCGCCCACCCGCGTCACTCCACTCCACTCCACTCCACAGGTGCCTCGGGGGCCGCAGGCCGCATCCAAGGCCCAGGTCGCCGCGGGGCCGCCGGCCGCTCCCGGCCCTCCCGACCCCTGCACCCCATTGTTCCCCGCCGGACTCACCTCAGAGGGCACGGGCCCAGGCCCGGCTGGCCTGCTGGACGGCAGCTCCCGGCGGCCCAGGAAGCTTGGTCGGTGGCGGCAGGAGCCGCGAAGGCGTACCCGACGGCTGCGGCGCCTCCCCTCCTCGGCAGGAGCGGGAGGGGGCGCTTCTCCCTCCTCGCGAGACAGCGGGGACCCCGGCGGCGGCTGCGACCCCTGTGACGGAGAAAGCTCATCACCCAGGGCGGTTTGGAGGCGGGGCGAAGGCCAAGCCCACCCCCGCCCGGCAAGCAAAACACAAACCCGCGCACTGCGCATGCTCCGAGGCCACCCGCGCGGGTGCCCAGCGCGGAGTTCCAGCTGCCATTCCCCCACCGCGGAGTCCAGGTCGGGCGGCGCGACCCCGGAGACGATGTCACCAGTTGTTACTAATCGTTGGGGCTACCCCAGGACAAACACTGAACATTAGCTCCCGCCCGACCGGGAAGCACACTGCCTCCGAGTCCCCTAACCTCAAACTTGTCTTCAGGGTCTGAGATCAGGGAACTCCCGGGAACTGGACCGAGACGGGGACAATCCAAGCGGTGCCCGGGGCCTCGGAGGTCTTCCAGGGTGGGAGACAGGGGTCGAGCCCGTCCCCCAAAGGCCCGCTTTCCCCGTCCTAATCCTGAAATCCACTTTAACCCGGACTGGCTGCGCACAGGGGGCGCGCCCAGGTCCCCGCGCGGCCCGGCTCCCCCGTCATAAGTGCCTTGCCCACTACCAGTACTCGAGGACCGGTCAGTGGACACGCCGACCGGGCCACGGGCCGCGCAAGCAGCAGCAGCAGCGACGGCATTCTCAGCCCAATCCTAGGGGCCTGCGACTCCTTGGCTGTGTGAACCGTGCTGTTCATGCCTGACGCGAGTAAGCGAACGGAACCCCGCTGCAGGCGAGGCTGGCAGGAGGCGCCCGAGTAGTATTTAAATGTCAGCTTTTCAGACTTGAACGTACACGCCATGGCGCACCGCTGCGCGTTAACACTGCGCTGCAACTGACAGCATACGTGAGGGGCGTTCGCCTCTCCGAGCCAAGTCGAAAAGCTATTTGACCCCCAGTAGTCTCCTTTATTTCCATCTCGGGACTGAAAGGCGGGCTAGGCCCGGGTCACGTGACGCGGCCCAACTCTGGGCGGAAGCGAGGTGGACCACACTCCGGGAGGCGCACGGCGCCCCGCCCGGGCTGAAAGATGGCCGCCGCCCCTCAGGCTCCGCCCGCCGGCGAACTCTAAGGCCCGCGCTTTCCCCGTCCCCGCGCGCCGCCTCCGCCTCACCATGAGACCGGTTAGTCGCCGCAGCCTGGACTGGATCTACTGCGCGGTAGGTGCCGGGTGCAGCGGGGCTCCAGCATGCCAGGTGCCCGGGCCAGCCAGCAGAAAGCCCACTGTTGCCTGGGCGCTGGGAACTCTCAGACCCATTCCTAAATTGAGCCCAGTGTTCACGCCCCGCCCTGCCCTCGACTCCGCCTCTTCCTGGAGGACACGCTCTTCCGCCTCTGACGTCAGGGCTGCTGGGCCTAAGCACTAAAAGGCCGGGTTTGTAGTGGCAGTTAAAGCTACCACTCAGCCTGGTAGTTGAGTGCCTGGTAACCAGGCGAGAGCTGGGCAGGCACCGCGCACTCACTGGCCGCGTCGCTTTCCTCTTTTAGCTGCTGCTCGCGATCGTCTTCCTGTCTTGGGGATTTGTCATCTATGCCTCAACTGTGGCTGCACGAAGACAGCTAAAGAAGGAGTTCCCAGACAAAATCTTCGGAATGAACGAACACCTGTAATCTTTCTGCATTTGATTCTCAGCACATAGATCTATTCCTCATACCTCCCCAGCACCTATGTAGACTTAAAGTAAAATTCACAATACAAAATTGCATATAGTCTTATTTTTAAAAACTTTATCTGTATGACTGTATTGTCTGCATGTATGTAAGTCTACCTGTGTTGTGCAGTGCCCTCGAAAATAAGAGGTTGTTAGTTGCCATGTGGGTGCTGGGAACCAAACCCAGGTGCTCTGTAAGAGCAGCCAGTGCTCTTAAATGCTGACACATCTCTCCAGCCCCTCCTATATAGGCTTTTGTAATAAGCATTAACATGCTAATTTTTCAACTAGATTGACAGCCTTTTTTGTATCATATCAGGCCACAGAATGACAAGCTTTCAATCGAGTGCCCAAAACACTTATTCACAATTTTCTCAAAGCTGGAACTGGTGGCACACACCTTTGATTTCCAGCACTAGGGAGGCAGAGGCACTCACTGGCAGTGTACATGGTCTACATGCTGAGTTCCAAGCCAGCAAGGGATAATGAAAACCTGTCTCAAAACAAAAAATCAAAAAAGAAAACCAAACAAACTCAGAAAGCCTTCTTTAAAACCAAAAGTGTGGGATTTCTGTTCTTATATTGATTTAACACATTTCATTCTTCCACAGTCTCTCACCAAACCAGAGTAACTACTGTGTAAGAAAATGAAATTTGTGATCTCCCTAAGTACTTTGCTGTATCCAGTTTTTCACAAACGGCCAGAAAAAGTAGTTGATTGATCATTTGTTTAGCATTTATCTTACTAATGTTAAATCACTCGACCTCAAATTATGCTGTCTAGAAAGAAGGTAACACCAATTTGAACAAACTTTATTAGCTACTTGTCCACGAAGTAGGCTCAGTAAATATAGCATTAGATGTATAAACTTGGGGAGTTACAGAATGCTGAAGTTTTTAAGTAATCTTTAATGATGTTGATCAGGAAAATCTTTCATTGGTGGAATTACTTCTCCAGTCTCCAGAATTGTATCACCCTAAGGAAAATAAAGAAATATTTATTAGAAAAATATTTGTAAGTTAAATATAAATTTTATTGTAAAATATTTCAGTATATGTTCAACACAAAAGGTTGCTATAAGATACTCAACAAGCCAGGCACACACCTTTACTCCCATCACTTGGGGGGGGGGGACAACAGAGGCTACAGGGAAATCCTGTCTTAAAAAACCAGAGAGAGGGAGATTGAGAGATTCTGACCAACAGTGTGCAATTAAATTCAGCAAACAGACACAGTCCTACAGCAATGATCAGATTACAGTGAAGACGATCTTTGAACCCGTCTGTCTCAGATGGCCTCCAAGAGCTGCCACTGAGTTGAGGAAGTCAGAGGCAAGAGGACAAAGAAATGGGAGGACCTGGAAACCACAGAACAGACTAGTATGTGGACCTGACTAGCAGCAACAGATTATCAATATTTTCCTTTCCTTGCTTGCCAAATGTTAAGAGAAAGAGAGGATAAAAAACAACAACAAAAACTAGAGGTTACAGAAACCTGTGAATGCTTGAAATTTAAGGTTATAGCATTCAACCTGTGAGCAGGAGGCAGACTTTGATTTTGAAGGCTATACAATTCTGATGAGGGCATGCTTCCCAAACCTATTTAGATATAAGCTGGAACAACAAAAATAAAAATAAAAAATGGGCAGAGCCAAGGACCAGAAAAAACAATGAACAAAGGTGCTTCTTCCAGAGAAAATGGTAGGAATGACTTATAAAATGGAAAGAATCTTCAGGGAGTGGGAGCACATGCCTTTAATCCCAGTACTTGGGAGGCAGAGGCAGGGGATCTCTCTGTGAGAGAGGCTAGTCTGGTCTACATAGTGAGTTCCAGGTCAGCTGGGGCTACAGGGAGACCCTGTCTCAAAAAAATTAAAACAAAATTGACAGAATCTGGACTAATAAATGACTTAACCTTGCAACCAAAAAGTTACTGCAAACAAACTCATTGAGCCACATGTTCTTGTGACCTGACCTTGATCCCTAGGAAGCTCAATTTGCTGCTCTACCCAAGATAGTGAATGAGCGTGGGTATGCTTGAGAATTAACATATCAAAGTGCTGAAAGAAAGCTTAGCTTCATTGAAAATAAGACAGAGAAGGTTGCTTGACACTTTATGTTTTAGGCTTAGGGATAGAAGAGCAAGATTGATAAGCGTGTGTTCAAGATTTCAGTTCCCCAACTGAAGCTGTATAAACCATTTTGAATAAAATCATGGGTGAGACCTTGCTCCACAACACAGTTCCTAGAGACCTCTGGAGCAACGAAATGCCCTGAGTTTGGGGCCCACTCTTAACCAGACTGCTGTGCTATCTAAATTCTACCACCAAAAAGTAGGTGTGGCTGCAGGGAGAATATATAGCTGCCTTTGCCTTCACCGGACCCTCTAACCAAGAGAAGGCTTGTCTGAATCTGACAGACCTATTGTGCATCACCTGGAGATTTCAACTAAGTTTGACTGCAGTAATAAGACTCTGGGAATTCCCTCTGGAAGGCACTGTGTGTGCTATGTATGTGAGGAGAAGGAAGCCAAAAGTTATTTGGTGACTAAAAGGATGAACTATGGCAAAGATTCCATGCATGGAAATCTGGGAAACAGCAAAGGCACACAGACATCTGAAAAAATGTGAATGAATTCAGCTTAATAGGATTTGAGAAGAAGCAAGGTAAGCTACTTCCAAACTTATTATTATTTTCAAACAAACTCTTTAAATTCTTTTGATATAGAGTCTCATGTAGCCCAGGGTAGCCTCAAATCACTATCTCCTAGGTGCTAAGATTATAGGTATGCACCACCACACCTGGATTTATATATATGGTGCTAGGAATCTAACCCAGGGCTTCAAGCATGCTAATAAGTAAGCACTTTACCAACTGAACTACATCCCCAACCCCAAACTTAAAACTTTAAAATTATCCCAAGACATCCAGCCCTCTCTCCTCTTATCACTGGTTTTGAAACACCATTTCAAAATTGTGTTATGCAAAGCTTTAAGACTGAGGAAGACTGCCAGTTCCACACTAGTCTGTCATATCAATAAGAAATAAACTTGTTTTGTAAGTTAGAGGCTTGCAACTTGTTACTGCCTATCCTATTAAAGCAAATGGACATTCTTTAGTTTCTCTAAAGGCAAGAGTCTCAAAGGGGTTGGTGTGGTGGCATAGGAACAGAAAAAAAATATACATATACATACATATATATATATATATATGTATAAGAAATGCTACAAAATCATTGATGTGGTCTTCTAAATAGAGCCCTTTTCCTTTGAACTGGAATGACGGATAATTAAATACATAAGTAAGCAAGCAAACATAAATAGAAGACTAAAAAATATTAATTACCCAACTAATGAAACCAGCAAGATAATGTCCTATTCTGAGACTACCTGGGACCAGACATTCATCCATTATACATAAGAAAGAACAGAAGTCTCCTACCATTTCCTAAGACAGTTCTAACAGGGACAGCCAATTCTGATTGTTGTCCCTTGTCAGTGGATTACTATGAAATATGCCACTGAACTGAAGCAATAATGAACCTTGAGTTTTGTTTTTTGAAATTACAGAATTTACAGTTATGATAGTTCATTTATTCCATGTAACTAGGAATAGACAAGAACATATTTTAATACACTAAACAATGCCTTACCAACAACCAATAAAAATACCAACTGATTAGTGAGTGATACTTTAAAAATGAAAGAACTCATTTTTAGAATTAGTTTTGCAGCTTACAAATTCATAGCATAAAGTTTTAAACACACATTAATAGGTTTTAACTTTACAGACTGAGAGCTGCAAACACAAAGCCATAAGAAATTAAAGTTTATAAATAACAGAAATTCAGTAGTTGTCACTGATGGAAAGTGTGAATTGCAGAAGAGCCACAAGCCTCATTAGGGAAAGCCATAAATCCCTTAAAGTGTCTAACTGGCCCTTAATTGGCAGCCTGGCCTCGCTCAAGCCTGGCTCTGCTCACCCCTTATTAGTTGGTCACTCCCAAGCCTGAGAGAAAAGTGTTTGTGGAGCCCAACTGTCTCCTCTAAGGCCATAGATATCACTCCTGCCAATTTCTGGGGAAATAAGCTTGAGGAGACCCTCAATCACGCCAAGGACACCAAACCCCGGCACTAACTCAACTCCCCACTAAGTGCGGCTGTGTCCTACAACCCTGGTATAAAACCCCCATTTTCTTTGTCTAGTCGTCGATTCTTGGTTCCTGCGGACAGCCTCCACCTCTCACGGTATCTTCTTTGAATAAAGGAAGATATATTCCTTGCCTGTTGCAGGTCTGGCTCTGGTTTCTTGTCTCCTACTCCTCTATCTTTCCTTTTATTTTCCAAAAATCTAACAGTCACCATGCACAAGAGACATGCCATTAATTCTTTTGCCTAGCATGAGATGGGCAGTGAAAACCTGGTGGTGTAGTTCAGGACAGCCAAGGTCACAAGACAAGGTTAAGGGCTGTAGCGTCCATTCCATTCCCACTACAGTTGCCACCTCACACCCCCTCCCTTCCTCTCTCTACAGTAATTCACAAATCAAGCACTTAAACTGTCAGTGAGAATAAAGGATCATGTTAACCTAATGAATCTGATGATCACTTGCAGGATGGAAAGAAGACTAATGCATGAAAGACAAATCAGTTCCAAGACTTACTGGGAATATTCTGGCCTTCTTCTCAACGATGGCATATGGTTTTGTCTGCAATAAAAATAATTCTGTATGAATTATAGCATTAAAATTTCTTCTAAAAATAAGTATAATATATCCAAAATTTTAACTTAAGCCCCAAACTTTCCCAGAACTCCAGAGGCATACATCCAACTGTTTATTTAGCATCTCTTACTTAGCTATCAACAGACATCTCAAAGTTAACCAGCTCCAACATTTAATTTTCCCCAGCCCTAAACTGCCCCTTCCTATGTTCCCTATCTTAGTATCACTTGCATTCCCTCAGTCCTAAAGGCCAAAAGCCTCAACTTCTCAGCAGATTGCTGGGTCCACCTTGAATGCAACTGCTTCTGATCACCTAATACTTCCACCCTTACCTCCACCATGTTTCATCTGAACTGCTACAATAGCACCAACTGGGCACCCTGCTTCTACTTAGGCCCCCCACAATTCATGGAGAGTGGTCCTTTCAACATGGATCACTTCTCTGTTTGAAATTATGTAATTCTTAGATTCCTTTACCTGAAATGCTCTCCTCCTGGACATCTGCTTGTCCCCTAGCCTCATTACATTCCTGCATCTTTTCACATAACACCTCTGCAGAGAGGCCTAGTTAAAACAACAGCTCTCTGCCATTCTTGATTCTTTCAACCTATGGAATGTCTCCTCTAGAGATCTAATCATCTCCTATATCGCTTTATGCCTCATGGCTCATGTGCTTATTGCCAGTCTCTGACACTTAGAGCAAACATTTCACGAAGCAGGGACACAATCTGCTGTGCCCAGTATTTATAGCTTAAGGTCATAAACTTATCCTATAAATACTTAAAAATAAGATTTATAAGTAAAGTTTAAAGCACTTAAGAGAATTTGATCATGCTTGCAAGTGAAATTATCTTAATGGAGTACAAATCCAATAAATTCAAAGACAGAACAATGAAAGGAGCTTGTTCCTATGTATAAACCATTTAATAAACTTTTCAAATTCAATTTAAAGAATTAACAAAAAAGTAAAACTTTTAAATTTAAAACTAGTAAACATTCTGGGTAACACCATGACCAGTTCTGTATTTAAAAAAAAAAAAAAAAAATCCTTCCTGGATGTTTAAAGGCTTCACTGACAGAAAAGAGTGTGAAAAACTACAGATGTACAATGATATGAAATGTCCAATGGAGTTGCAAATGAACATAAAAAGATGTTTAAGCCATCAGCAATAGAAAGATAAACTATTCTCTGACAAAGGTAAACACTGTCAGTCTACTTTATTGGTTGCAGAAAGATTTTCTGCTGGTTAATGAAAACACAACTCAAATTCCTACCTGCTCCCTACTGATCTCTTACTTCTGGCACATTAGCCAGCCCACGACAACAAAGACATCTCCAAAGATGACTACAGCAGCGTATAATCACACAGTGCTGGTCAGGTGTTATCTGGAATAGTCCTAGTTTTAAATTGAAATTTCCCTTCATCTAAAGCCTAACCAAACTGCCAACAGCCTCCGGCTAATTTGCCTAAAGTTAGAACTCCCTCCCTTAAAGGTCATAACCTTAGTAAACCTTAAACACAGATTTTCCTACATTTCCTTCACAGTCATCAATTCCTTTTCCCATTTAAAAATGGAGAATGTAGTAGCTTGGTGTGGAGGCTCATGCGTGTGATCCCAGCAGCACCTAGGAGGTAAAGGCAGGAAGATCTGAAGTTCAAGGCTAGCCTGTGCTACATGAGACCTTGTCTCAATTAAATAAATTACATATGATAAAAATTAAAAGCGCTCCCAATGCTTATTATATATACAGCTCAACCTCTTCTCCCTAGATTCTGAGATCTTCTCCAAATTGGTCCCAGTTTACTGAGTCAACAAAGACCTTTCTAGCATTTCCTGCCTTGGGTGTACATGGCCACACTCATCACTGGCTTCCTGTCTTTCTCTCTAGCCAGCAGAAGTTGTCTCCTCCACATTCTTACTCAAATCCTACCTTCCAACATTATAAACATTCCTTGAGGTCAGTGACTTCTATACATTCTCTATGGCAATAAAGAGGACACTGGCACTCTATTCTTTTAGATTAAAGGACATAATGTGGGCTGGCAAGATGGTTCAGGAGTTAGAGGCGCTTGCCACTAAGACTAACAACTGAGTTTGATCCCTGATGCCCACATGGGAGAAGGAAGGCCCCAACTCTCACAAGTTGTCCTCTGACCTCCATAAACATGCTGTAGAATGCATGCACTCCCTTACACACACACACACACACACACACACACACACACAAAATACATAAATGTATAGAAGTTTTAAGGATCTAAAGTGCTTAGTGACGAGATTAAGGATGAAAGCACACAAGAACTGTAAAGAGCCTATACAATCAGCAGAGAACATGCCTATAAGATATTCTCAGAACACTTTTGCTGGTTTCAAGCTCCTTAGAACAAGCAAACAGAAAGTAAAACTCAGCTGGATTACCTATAACTTGCTAGGCAGTCTCTAACTTTCATTTTATTTTGAAATAATTTTAAACTTACAAAAAGTTACAATGATAAAAATTTTTCTTGAATCATTTTGTAGTAAATTGCTGACTGGTTAATTATTTCATTATGCATTTCCTATAAACAAAGACAGTATTTTTAAAATAAATACAATACAGCCACCAGGATTAGGAAACTGATTCATTAACTATGATCTAATTTGAAGAACCCATTCTTTTTTCACCAGTAGGCTGGATAATTGGATTTCTCAAATTCCATCTTACATCCTTCATCGTTCTTCATTGATTATATAAGCTCCTTAAAATGATGGTGCCAGCTGAGTGTGGCGGCGCACACCTGTAGTTCCAGCACTTGGGAGGCAGAGGCAGGCAGATCTCTGTGAGTTCCAGGCCAGCCTGGTCTACATAGTGAGTTCCAGGACAGCTGGGGCTACAGGGAGACCATGCTTCAGAAAGACAAAAAAAAAAAAAAAAAAAAAGATGGTGCCAACGCTGTCTTTGTTTATTTGACTACATAGATTGTGTCTGTTATTTAAGAATTAAATTTTGTCCATGAGTCTCTAGTTTTCCTCAACCAGAAACATTATCTTCAACCTCCAGACAGTTTGTAACTTTCATCATCTTGACACTTGGATGCAACAAACTTTCAGTCTTGCAGAAGAGTCCCTGGATTTGGGCTTCCTATGTTGTGGCTGGACTCAGATCCCGCACTCAGGAAGGAACATCGTAAGGCTGATGCTGCTTTCCTCTCACCACTGCCACAAAGCAGCCAGTTTCAGTTCATCCCATTACTGGTGACACCGAGAACTGACTACCGTTTCAGTTTTCCTTTTCCTCTTCTAACAAGTAAGTATTGTGAGGCCAGGTCTTTATTATTTTTTATTTATTTTTATTCTATGTGTCTGTTCTTGCCTGCATGTATGTAAGTATACTTGTGTTGTGCAATGCCCATAGAGGCCAGAAAAGGATGTCAGATCTCCTGGAACTAGAGTTACAGTTGTGAGCCTCCATGTGGGTACGGGAACGGAAACCAGGTCCTCTGCAAGAGCAGACAGGGCTCTTAACTTCTGAGTCATCACTTTAGCCCTCATAGGTATTTTTAAAAGAATTTCATACATAAGCACTGAATTTACATTATTTCTACTCCTCCCAGTTCCTATCCAATTACTCCTATATCCCCCTCTCCCTTTCAATTTTTGTCATCTTCTTTGAGTGCACACACACACACACACACACACACACACACACACATTAGGGCTCGGATCTACAGCAACCCCCTCCCCCATGCAAGAGGGCCTCATGGTTTTACAAGCCCTCTGGCTGTTCTCTCCTGATAAGCCCTGGGCTCTTCCCCACCTAACCTGTTGAAAATATATTTTCCTGCCTTCCACATCCTCCCCCCAAAATCCCCTATAAAAGCCCCCAGCCAACAGCCTGGAGACTGACAGCTCTTCCATCCTGAACTGGAGACTGCCCCGTGCACTTTCTCTGCCAATAAACTCTATCCCACCAGAGTTCTTGTCTGTGTCCTGGTGCTTTCTTCCAATTGGACTCGGCTTACCTATCATATGGTGCTGAACCTGGCCAAGCCCCAGGACGACAATCTTTTGGGAATCACATATAAAAAACTCCAACCCGACCTGGCTGCCATTACCAGCCCCTGCAAACACCACTAATTCAGCTTTGAGGTACACCCCAACTATTCCTTCTCTCTCCCTCTCTCTCTGCTCTCTCCTACTGCATTTTTCCTTATGGCCACTGTGATTCTTCCCCTGCCACTCGGGAACATACTCTGCCTTGCTTTTACTTCTCTCCTGCTCCTCTACATCTTCTTTTGATTTCCTTTTCAGTTGGATTTGGAGGTCACTCCCAGACCTGACGCAAGGCCCCTGGGCAGCACTGGTCTCCACAACCGATCAGTGTCTGGCATGGTTACTATGTCTGCCTAAGCCCACCTCAGGGACAGACCTGCCCCTCCACTGCTCTCAAAACCGTTGTCTTAAGAGTCTCTTCGTCCAAGAGCTAACTCTCCCAAAGGACCACAGGCCCCTCCCAGCCTGCTAAAAAGGGTTTCTGGCTGCCCATTGCAACCGGAGGTCCCAAAGATCTTAGCAGCCTACTCCCCACACAGGGCATGCAGGCCTCTTGTCTTGAGGTCTTATTGGTGTCCTGTGTACCCCTTTTGAGCTCTGTCTCCACAGCCTAGAGTCTCTCTGTTCTATCCCTACTCTCTGGAACTCCAGAAGGAGGCCAACCCTACAAAGGCACAGGCTTGATCTGAAAAGGCTGGTCCTAAGACTGGGTGACTGGGAAGGCAAACTCTGGCCGTCTCCACGCTCCCCCTTTCTTTCTCGCAGCCTCCCACCAAGCCTCAGGCTCAGGCTCAGGCTCCCTCTCCCTTTCCCTTTCCCTTTCCTCACTCCTGGCATCTTGTCTTCACTTTCACTTTCTCCTGCTCTTGATTCAGAGCCCCTCTATCTCTCATGCCCACCCTCCTTGGGCTCCTCTTCTCTCAGCTTCCACTTAATCTTGGAATCTCTCT